AGGGTGCCTGCACCAAACTCCCAAGGTGACAGGGACATAGTGTCGCTGTCTTCCTCAAGGTTTACATCTTAGAGAGATGACTCAGGCCTAGGAATGCATTCCTGGCTGGAATGCTGGCAAGCAGCTTATACCACTTTTTAAAAGATTTAGATGTGAATCAAAGGGAGACAGGAAATATTTCTAGGATCAGTTCTCTAAAGGAAAACCTCTGCAAAAGGAAGAGAGACAGTCTCTACCTTTTGTCAACAAACAAAATGTAATCTTTTATTTATTATTTATTAAGTTCTCAATTTACAGTGCTAAGGATGGAACCCAGCTCAGCCAGCACTCTTCCACTGAGCCACACACCCAGTCCCATCTTAAAAACAAAAGAAAACAAAACAAAAACCTATAAGATGCAAATAACAATGTCCAAGAATATGGTAAAAGTAAAGGCTAAAAATAATAYATTCAGGATAATGAACACAATGTATTTTAACATAAAGATGCACTTTCACAAGAATATTTTAAATAATAAATCCATGTATGTGATAATTACAAAGTACTCCAGAATTCTTTTAACCTTTAAAAAAATTTTTTAAGTTGGAGTTGGATACACAATATCTTTATTTATTTGTATGGCACTGAGGATCGAACTCAGTGCCTTATACATGCTTGAAAGGGGTGCGCTACCCCTGAGCTAGCCCCGCCCCCTTTTTAAACTTTTATTTATTTTCATGCAGTGCTGACCTAACCCGTGTTAGGCAAGCGCTCTACCTTTGAGCTACACTCCCAGCCCCATCCAAAAAGTTTTTTAAAAGGAAAATTACAATATAAAAAAATATGATGTGCACTTAAGATAGGGCAAAAATCAAATCCCACATTCTCCAGCAGGTTTTTGTCTCTGTAGTGTTGGGTAAGTCAGGTAAGCTTTCCTTCTTGACCTGTAGTTGTAGGTCATTAAGTAGGTAATGACTGGTGTCAACCRCTTCAGTCTCAGCACCTGCCACCAGCCACCTGGATGAATAAGGCAAACATTTGACCCCACTCCAGTGCCTCCTTGAGCCAACAAAGCACCCCTGCACTCTGCACATCAATGCAGGTGTGTCAGATGGTGTAGAAACATAGGTCCTTGTCCAGGAGCTAGATAGAATAGGGATCCACATGGGATGAGGCAGCTGGGAACCAAGATGGGGAAGCAGGTCAGAGTAAGCAATGGGAATGAAACCCAAGCTCTGGAATGAGGGTTTCCAGATGTTTGCTTGCAGCGGAGAGGAGATGGAGAGGGGCTACCTTTGTAAAAAAGCTTCAGAGCAGGTGAATTTGGGGGCTCCAGCAGCAGACCCAAGCTTCAGCTCCAGCTGTCACTTATGCTATGTGACTAGGGCAACTTTCTGAGCCCAGTTCTCTTATCTAAYAAAAGACGGACAAAGAATGAATCGAACAACTTATCTCTCCCAGCATTCCTTCCAGACAGGGTTTAACATTATTCTGGCTGACAAAGAGAGATTTGCAAGGACCAGCTCCATGATCACAGAATAATCAAAAGGGTGAATTTGCAACTGAGGGACAATGAAAGCATAATGGGTGTATATTTACATCTGTATGTCAGCACGTCTAGCCTTTCATTTTGTCTTTAGACTGAAAATATTCTTTCATATGGATGAAACACATTTTTTTACCTATTCATCCACTGGAGGCCATTGGTGTGGTTTTCCCTCTTTGGCAACCGTGAATCATGCTGCTGTGAACGTATGTGTACAGATCCTTTGGATACCTGTTTTCATTTCTTTGGGGATATATATGCAGGAGTAGAATTGCTGGATCACAGGGGGAGTCTGTTTAACTTGTAGGGGAGCTACCAAACTGTTTTCCACCATTTATATTTCCATGGGAAATCTTAAAGGAGTTTTAGTTTCTCTCTTTGTCAACATTTGTTATTTTCTATTTTGGTTATCATAGCCATCCTTACAGCTGTGATGTGGTTTCTCTTGGTGGTTTTGGGTTGTATTCCTAAATCAATCTTGGTTCCTGCTTGCAAAGGATTTGCCTCATCAGAGATAGCAACTTATTTCATTATTTTTAGCATTAACTTCTATTAAATTTAAAATTTTTCTAGTATATAATCTATTTTCCAAACAAATTGGCAAATAGTCTCTTTTATTCATAGACTTGTGACATAACATATATCCCCACCTATTATTATAATTCTTCATGATACTTGGTTTTATTTAATTTGTTATCTGGCATTAAATGTCACAAAAAATCTCTGACAATTTCTCCATTTTTTAGGGTTAGCACTTGTATTTCAGATAACCTTTGCCAAATTGTATACAAAGAAACCCACTGGTAAGACCATGAAGCTATAATTAGTATCTGTTGAACAATGTTTGTTTAACTGATTTTGCATGGATTTGTGAAATGGATCCAAATTTCTAAGCTTCTGTTATTCAGCCTCCTAAACTCAGATTCAAACCTTCCCTGGACTTGCCTCATGGAGCAAAGGTGATGGATTTAACCAGGTTCAATTAAAGATCAAACAATTGGGAATTAGACTGTCTATAATCTATTACTTCTGTAGAAAGTCTTATTTCCTATAGTCATCTGCTTTGCCACAAACCTCGCCACTTTGCAGAGAAGCAGCTGAGGTAAGTCCAACACTCTACCCACATGCTTTGTAAAGCAGGAATCAAGAAAAATGACATATGCTTATTGGACAGAAAAATGTTTCAATAGCTAGAAAAAAACATCCTGAAGGAGACTGCACACATGCACAGCTGCAGATGCAGTTCCAGCAGCTCACACCACTAGTAATACCAGCTGGACCTGAACCACTGCTGATACACCTCATTTTGGTTACTTGCATTATACAATACTGTTTGGCAGGTATTTGACCTGGAGAGCAGATATTTTTAGCCAATCTCAATAAGACAATTTAGGCTGATTGACAGGYAACACTTCAAAAAATAGCAATTTTTAATCTAAAAATCTTCAGTTAATTTCTGGTAAATTTTAAATGAGGATGCACTAGGTATAGTAGTATGGATCAGGAGTGTCCCCAAAGGCCCATGCATTGAAGGTTTGGTCTACAGCCTGGGGTGCTATTAGGAGGTGGTAGAGCTGAGAGTGGTGATGCACACCTGTAATCCCAGTGGCTTGGAAGGCTAAGGCAGGAGAATCGTGATTTCAAAACTAGCCTCAGAAAAAAGCAAGGTTCTAAGCAACTCAGTGAGACCCTGTCTCCAAATAAAATACAAAATGGTGCTGGGGATGTGGCTCAGTGGCTGAATGCCCCTGAGTTCAATCCCTTCTATCAAAAAAAAAAAAAGTGGTGGAAGTTCTAGGGTGGGGCCTAGCTTTCAGGGCATGTCCTTGAAGGATATGGAACCCTGGCCGCTTTCTGTTTCTCTCTTTGCTTCTTGTCTGCTATGAGGTGAACAGACCTCCTGTGCCATATGCTCTATCCATGATATATTGGGTACTGAGAAGCCCAAAATAAAAGAGACAAGTGACCTTGGGCTGAAACCTCTGAGCATGAGTTAAAATAAGCTTTCCTCCTTTTAAGTTGGTTATCTCAGGTATTTTGCCACATGTAACAGAAAACAGAACAATACACTAGTCAGTTTGCTATAGAAACAACTCAGAAATCTCAGTGGCTTTGAACAACAAAGGTATAGTCTTGCACCACTGTATGTCTTCAGTGGCTGTGCAGGCTGTGCCTGTCTTTGGGTCCTTGAGAAACACAGGTCCTTGAAATGGCTGCCTCTCCAACCCTGGTGGTGGCTATGCCGGACGGAGAGGCTTTCCCCAACTTGGTACTGGAAATACATCATTCTACCCTAAAAGCTAAACTCATGATTTGTATTACCAACACATTGGCGCGAATTATTCA